TAGGTGGCCACTTATGGATAAAAGATATTGAAATATTTGTGTTTACCTTTATGATACTAGATGTCCCCATTGACTTTAAGTTGTGAAGTTGAATTTTTTTTCAATGGGCAGAGAAAAGAGGAACTGTAGAACTTCCCTTTGTTTGCTCTATTTCAACAATTCCAATTTTATTTTCCTTGTTCACAGTGAAAAATTGGAGGAAGCTTCCAGAAAACTTATAAATGAAAACAAACTCGAAGCAGGTAAATTCAATTTTACTTAACTGATATTGATTTTAATTTAAACCATTCGGTCAAAGATTTGAAATGATCAAACTTATCTACAACCCGTGTTCTGTACGTGTGTTGATACACTCATGTATTCTCCCAACCATTCCCTTAACATTTCCTGTGGTATGGACAAGGAGAATATGTGTGACAATCAGGAGTTTCTTAAATTGGTGATCAGTTCCTTAATTCTCAGGACCTTTACATTTGATTTAAGGGTGAAAATGTAAGGAGAAACTAAAAAGGAGACACATTTATGGATTAAAGGGTTAAGGAAGTCGTAGAAGTTGTTCCAAAAAGGCATGGGGGCTTTATTCTGAGTTTCCTTTCATTTTTACATGCAGCACTGAACAGACACATGTCAGAATGGTATACATCTGTGAAAGCTACTTTCAGTTCAACTGTAAAAATTATTTATTAGTGAAAAAGAGTCGGAGAAAAATAAATTAAGAACGTGTTGTCCCTTCAACATCAGTATCCATTTTTTCCATGCTCTTCTCTATGCATTTCCTTGTGGTAATGACAAAGAAAATTTGTTCTCAACAATCAAAGCTTTCTGGGTGAAGGATCATTTCCTTTGTTCTTATGATGTTGATGAATAAGTCAAGAGTATTACTGCAAGAAGAAATAAAATGCTGCTCACTCTCTTTGGGTTTAAAGGGTTAGATAGCAGGAAGTAAGGTGATTTTATGTTCTTCTCCAGGTTTGGCCTTTCCCACTGGATGTTCCCTGAACCACTGTGCAGCTCATTACACTCCAAACGCCGGTGATAAGACAGTCCTACGATATGATGATGTCTGCAAAATTGATTTTGGAACTCATGTGAATGGTAAGGTTACAGATGATTCAAATAACCAGCGGAAGATACAATGAGATGGTCTTTAGGGGTAGTGGGAGGGAAGTTTGGGTACCCTCCCCCCCCCCATCAGAGCTGTTTCTTTTTTCTTTTTTTACTTCTTGTCTGACGTCAAATCCATGTCACGACAGTGTCTCATGTTACAAGTCATTATGAAGTATTCAAAATTTACATGTAGTAGAATGTTATTGGTTTATTTTGGTTCAAGTGTTAACAAAAGTCCCATGTCTTCTGAACCAAAGTTTTAACCCCCCTCCCATCCCTCAATCAAAAATTGCTTGATTCCCCCTTATAACTTATATTTAACAATTATTCGCTGGAGGTGAGGTGAATGTCATCGAATAATCCCCGAGACGAAGTCAAGGGGATTACTCGACAATATTATACCGAACCCAAGGCAAATAATTGTTTTAGTATAATTTCGGAGCAGAACAACAGAGAAATTTCAAAAATCATAACATTTTAGTAACATTTATTAACATTTTATTTTAACATTTGATATTAATAATCATCTTTATTGAGGAAACTTTTTCATAACAAATATGGTTTGCAAAAAGGACCTCGAAACTAGATATACATAGTAGAAACAAAAAAGCAATAAAATTACAAAGGGATTAAAAGGATACAAAAAATGCATAAAAAATTAAAAATAAGTATAAATAAAAATTAAACGCAAGTAGCTATAGTAAAAACTTAAAAACGTTACGTTTAAAACTATTGACATTCTTTGAGTCTTTGATCGTCTGACTGAGGGAGTTAAAATCAGAAATGGCATGATATTGTGTTCTTTGCTTCCCCTAATTTCTTTTGACACGTGGTAATCTAAAATTGCCTTTGTTACGTGTATTATGCCTATGAAGTACATCTTGTCTAATCAAGTCCATATTGTGATTAATTAGGCCATTGATGCATTTTTATACGTGTACACACCTTCTTTGAAATTGCTTTTCCTTTAGAGGCAGCCACTTGAGAACGGCTAATGCCTCAGTGGAGGATGAGTACAATGGTCTAATAACTTTAGTGGCCTTATTTTACAAAACTTGCAAACTAGACATAAGGGTAATATTATGTTTATCGTCCCATACTAGATCAGCATATTTAAAAAGGGGCATAACAAGACCTTTATAGAAAAGTAAACGCGCCCTGAAAGGCAATGAATGCTTTATACGCTTGAGAAGCCCAAGCCTCTGATTGATTTTCCCAGTTAGGTGTTCAATATGATCAGTCCATGTGAAATCCGAAGATATATGTATACTGAGGTATTTAAAGCTGCGAACATTACTTATACTGTGATCTAAAATTGAAACAGACAAATCTACTTTGCTTTCGCATTTCCTATTACTACCGATAAGCATGCATTTAGTTCGCGTGGAGCGGTTTATTTAGCATCATATAAGGAACCACTCAACCAATCTGATTGCTGGAAACTCTTTGCTCAGCTCTGAAATTATACCAAGTATGAATATATGTTGCAGGTAATTTTTGCTTTTTTGGCATTGTTATTAAAAAAAAAAACCCTTTTGTTTGTTGAAGCAGAAATTGAAGCCCGGGGTATGAAAGAGATAAATCTATTTAATATGAAATTCTTTTGATTGATTATATTTCTTTTGATTCTTTTTAAGGGTTAAGGAAGTCGTAGAAGTTGTTCCAAAAAGGCATGGGGGCTTTATTCTGAGTTTCCTTTCATTTTTACATGCAGCACTGAACAGACACATGTCAGAATGGTATACATCTGTGAAAGCTACTTTCAGTTCAACTGTAAAAATTATTTATTAGTGAAAAAGAGTCGGAGAAAAATAAATTAAGAACGTGTTGTCCCTTCAACATCAGTATCCATTTTTTCCATGCTCTTCTCTATGCATTTCCTTGTGGTAATGACAAAGAAAATTTGTTCTCAACAATCAAAGCTTTCTGGGTGAAGGATCATTTCCTTTGTTCTTATGATGTTGATGAATAAGTCAAGAGTATTACTGCAAGAAGAAATAAAATGCTGCTCACTCTCTTTGGGTTTAAAG